GGTCCCCAACCCCTAAAATCTGGAAAAAGGAGTACTCTGCGTTGATACCACTGCTTAAAAAATTTTTTTATAAGGCTAATTTGAATTTTTAAAAATTTTTAAAAATTATTTTAATTATTTACAAGTAAAAACAAGTCATTTGCACATTTTTATAACCCTTATAAGCAACTTTCAAAAATTTCGCGACCCATTCTCGGGGGGGGGGGCGCGCGCCCCCCCCCCCGCCCCCCCCCCCTCGGTACGCCACTGGTGAAGAGATATTAGTTCTAACACGATTCTGCATCTGCAACTATAGATCCATTTTACGAGCTGAAGCTGGTAATTCAGAGAGATTGAAAAATGTACGAAACTATTGTTTTCAGCATCCACATTGTAAGTCGTATTTTGAATTATATTTGAATTTTACTCCGTCAGCACTGAAGCTGCCTCCAACGCATGTGCGATGCAATACTTCTACCAACATCCATCTCTTTTTTAGGAAATGGACACTTCAGACAAAGTACAGACTAATCCACATTTTGTCTGAGGCGGTCCTCAAGCGCTTTGTAGTATACTGTAGTTTTGAGGGATTGCATCATGATGGCATCAGCAACATATGAGAAATGGTCTACCTCCCAGTTTTGATTATCTTGCAGTCATTAGCAATGTTGCAAATGCCCTCTTCTTCTTTCTACAGGAAACCGAAGTGTATGACCGCATAGGAGCGAGACAGTATGGACGTGAGCACTCTCCAGTATAATACGCCGTCAACTTGCGCATACTTACATTTCATGTTGGTCGATGAGAGGCTTGTAGAAGTTGCCGAAAGCATCACCTGCGAATACATCCAGGGAAGGGGCATACATTGGAAGTTTTAGCGAGCCGCCACCAGCGGTGCAGTCGTTGCCAGCAGCATTGCCTTCGAGTGAGTCCTAGTCTTTTCACGCATGGGCAGCAGCATTGTTCCTCACTTTCGCGTATCCTTTGGTGGGCTGCATTGAGGCGACAATGAAAACGAGCATGAGGAAGCGGACATTAGTATCAGTTCCACTGATGGCGGAGAATCCCACGAGAATTCCCATGGAGATAGACCTGGATACGATATCTGTATGTTAGATTATCTAATAAGGGCTGGGCATACATCACGCCAGTGGCGTACCCAGGATTTCGGCTCGGGGGGGGGAGGGCGCGACAAAAAATTTTTCCGAATGAAGGTGCGTGGCGTTAGCCACGCACTCCGAAAAAATTTTAGGGGTGCTTCTCAAAATTTTTGCGGGTCCCCAACCCCTAAAATCTGGAAAAAGGAAGCGTGGCGTCAGCCACGCCCCCGAAAAAAATTTTTTACAAGGCTACTTTGAACTTTTAAAAATTTTTAAAAATTATTTTAATTGATTAGACTGACTGACTGATACTATAGATTCTGCTGTATCGTCTATGATATAATGTCAAGATGTGTACCATTCGAAGTCCAGAAAATTGGATACCTACGATACCCTAGTCATGTCCAGTCACTCCTCCTGCAAAAAGAAAGACTATTCAGAACATCTCGTTACAACAGCTTGATGTATAAGAAAGTTTGTTCAGATATCACATTTCATATTAAAAAATTTCTCGCAAATCGCGAGAGACGCGTAGCTTCGTCCAAATACTCCAAAAACCTCTTTTCCTATTTTCGCCGTATATCGTATATCAAAAATCATGGAGCCTTGAAAGATGCGCTGGGTGCAAGCTGCCTGACGGATCGAAGCAAGGCACAGGCATTAGCCAAATTTTTTGCCAGCACCTTCTCCTTGAGTACTCCCACTCAGATAAATCTTGAAACTCCTCTGCGCCATACATGCTCAGCTCCTACTGTCACGCCTTTTATGGTCGAAAGTTTTCTCAAGAAGCTGAAAAATTCCACTTTTGAACCTTTTGACGGTATCCCGCAAATAGTATTCAAGCGATGCGCAAAAGGATTTTCCACACCTCTCTCTCATATTTTCAATATTTGCCTTATATGTGGGGAGGTGCCTAACATTTGGAAAGAAGCTATTGTTACGGCCATTCCAAAAGTACCTAAACCCATGACGGTGACCGAATTCAGGCCTATAAGCATAAATTCTATCCCATGCAAAATTTTTGAGAAAATTCTACGCGACAAACTTTTTTCTTGGTTTAAAAAATTCAAGCTCATACCTTCCGAACAACATGGTTTCGTCAATGGAGCATCAACTGTGACACAACTGATAGATTGCAGACATGACTGGATCAAAGCGTCAATTGATAAAAAAGAAGTGGATGTAATCTATTTCGATTTGTCCAAAGCTTTCGACCGTATAAGTCATGATAAATTGTTATATAAGCTGGAGCATTATGGCATCAGAGGAGTTCTACTGGAATTGATCAAATCCTATCTTCACTCTAGATTTATGACTGTCCGTGTTGGTAGGGATCACTCTGAGCATTTTCCATGTACAAGTGGGCTTCCGCAGGGAGGTGCTCTTTCACCTCTTTTCTTCATTATCTATACCGCCGACTTGCCCAGAATTTTGAAAACTCATCCTGATATTCACGTACTAATGTACGCCGATGACATAAAAATATACGGGATTTATGATGACAGCAATCGCGCAGTTATCAAAGATGCTTTACAACGCGCCATCGACCGTATGATTGAATGGTGCGCAATTTGGGATATCTCGATAAACGTCAAAAAAGTGTCGTATTTCATATTGGTGCGATAAGCGATACCAATTATGAACACGCTGGAGTCATGCTATCCAACGAAACATCAGTTAAGGATTTGGGAGTCGTATTCGACGACACCTTAAAACCTGATCTGCAAGTTTCAACTGTTACCTCACGAGCTTTTTCAACTTTATACACCATTTTTCGCAATATTAAAGTCAATGACGTCAAAATACTGGTCAAATTGTACAAAGCATACGCAATCCCTTTATTAGAATACGCAAGTCCTGTTTGGAGCCCCTCTCTTAGGAAGCACACAGAGACCCTGGAGAGTGTTCAGACAGTCTTTACCAAACTTCTCTTTTATCGTTGTTTTCCGAATTCATCATATCCACATTTGCTTCCGCATTATGATGAACGCTTGAAAACACTTGGTCTTGAATACCTCTCATATCGTAGAGTTATTCACGATCTTGTTCTTGCATTTAGGATTTACAGGGGAGAAACTAAACTGAGTCCTTCCAAGTATTGGGTATTCAAGCCTAGTCATGGAAGGACCAGCGGATTTTCTATTTATCTACCAACAAGCGGTGGGCGAAATCAGTTTTGCACCTTATTAGAGAGTGATTTTTTTGTTCGTGCATCGAGAATGCTGGAAAAAATACCAAAAGAACTTTTAGCCTGCAAAAGTAGTATATCATTCAAACGTGAAATCAAAAAGCTGAACTTGAATGATTTCTTTTCTTGCAGGTAGAGCTTCTCTTCATTGTTTTATGCTCACTTTGCCAACCACACGTGCTTTCCTGACTTCCCATCAGCGCATGCGTCCGACAATCTTAGTTTATATCTACTTTGCTAGATTTGTTCTTCTACTAACCCAGATTTTTACCGCATAGTTTCGAGCCCAGCCTACCTACTACCACGCACTAGTTTGGTACAGCTTACCAACATAGACTGATGCTTGTCTGATTTACAATATATTTCAAATTTCCTTGGAGCTTTGTACCCTCCCCGGCAAACTGTGTTGGGCGGGGCTGCCAGTATACCCGCCAGCCGAACTTCCGGTTTGCTATTATGAAATCAAAATAAGATCGTTCCTTGCTGGCAAACGAGGGGGCATGGGTACTTCTCCAGAGTGTTTCCCCATAGAGTTCACGCAAGTACAAGCATTGTTATCTATACGCGTTTACGCAAGCTGCTTCTACACAATCTCTTCTCTCATAAGCTTAGTCTGGGCTTGAAAGATGTGGTGAAATGTTTATTATTGTTGTGTTTCATGTATTATTAACACAATTTTGTCAATGTTTTGGAACGCCTAGAGCGTATCTAATGAAATGAAATGAAATGAAATGATTACAAGTATAAACAAGTCATTTGCACATTTTTATAACCATTATAAGTAACCTTCAAAAATTTCGCGACTCATTCTCGGGGGGGGGGGGGAGGGGCGCGCCCCCCCCCCCCTCGGTACGCCACTGCATCACGCTATTTCATCGCCTCTCGATTCTCCCGATAAGACAAATGCTACGAGTCCACTGTATGCCGATAATCTTGCGTTTCGGTTGTGATAGCCGCGAATAGCCGGGACGGGAGATTATCACAACCGAATTGCAAGATGAATGCAATGGACTCGAAACAGTTATCTTGTTGGGAGGATCGCGAGGAGATTAACCCTGTCAAAACTCTACAAGGACGTATAAATACATGGTGTGTGACGGAAAGCAAAAGTCCACACTTCATTGCCGCAACTGAATGTCAAGCAGCAAACAGAAAGACCAGTATCTACGCTGTGAATATCTACAAAGAAGTTCAACAATTTCGTAGCTCTTCCTTTTGATCGCGGTATGCTCCATTTCTACCCGCTTAATACCGCTATGCAGTTCAATGCAAACAAAAATCATAGGAGCTACATTTCTTCAAGGTGCGCAGCTATCTGTTGCTCTCGACACAAAGTTGTTTATTGAGAGGTTTTGTTGACTCGTCGTTACTTTGATTAAAAAATTCGAGACAAGTCCTAAAGCAGTTTAAGTACTGAAGGCTGAAAAATTTAAGGTATTTCGCAAAAAAATCTTTATCAACAGTGCATTTTTCATTTGTGCAACACGTCCCTACTCTTATCATGTAACGATTTCCTCAACTCTTTGACTTGGCTCCAGAAAGCACTAATTTAGAACTCTACAATAGATATGTGACAAAAGACGAAAGCCCATAGCTTCACTGTCGCAATCCGATGTCAGCAATAATCGTATGGCCAATTATGCTGTGAATTTACCATGAACTTCAAAAATTTTGTAACCTTTCCTTTCATCTTTGCACATGGTATGTTTCATTTTTACATTTTAAATACCGCCATGCAGTTCACTGCAACCACAAATCATAGGATTTACATTTCTTCAAGGTGCGAAGGCTATCTGTTGCTTTTGCCACATAGCTGATATTGAAATCTTGTGTGATCTAAACTCAGCTTTGATTCAATTGATGTAGGGCGTCCCAAGCAGTCCTACTAATGAAGCTGAAAATTTGAGTACTAGGTTGATTTTGCAATAAACGAGCTTTTTATAATAGTGCATCACCTTTCTATCAAAGAGGCTTGCATCGTTCTTTTGAAGAACATCATATTTTACTATGAAGCGTATCGGTTAGCAGATTGTGTAAGCCGAAGACGATCAAGCTGCTAATTCATATACACTTAGATGGCCAGTTTTTAGTGACGGGCTCCAGCACAAAACCACTTGTTCCTTTCCCTCGCTTTCGACATCACGATGTTCTTATTTGTGGTCGGTGGCTGTCCAAATAGTTCCAAATGCGAGAGTCGTATCTCTTTTTTCACTCTTTGCTTCGCAAATCAACTCTAATTTTCTAAGTGCCCGTATGTCTGTTCTTCTCATAATCAGGCCGTCGATGCTTCGCTTAACGTTTTCCTCTGGCTCACAAAGACGGGACAATTTTCTCATATTCGTAAAGTTCGATGAGATGTTGACAGTGTTTGAAGTCATTTCTTGAAAAGTGCACCCGAGCGCTCTGTGGTTGATGGGCAGAGCTCCCGACTTGTTGCAGTTTGCTGCAGGTCTCAGTTGCGTACATAGCGGTGGGTGAGAACGGTTGATCGAGCAGGACGGCTCAAAGGCCTGGGTCCCTCAGCTGGTCGGTAGCTTTTCAGGGGCCCGAGGACGGCACAGGCTACTTTTTTCTGGTGTTCAGTTATTCCCTCAAGCCGTCCTTCATGTTCATGGAACGTGCAAGCACTCAAAGGACGTATCTGGTCTAAAGCGCCTTCCAGATCATTTCCTTATCTTCGTAAAAGCCGTTCTTTTGAAATGTATCTCCTTCCGACTTATTCGCAGTTCGATCTTCCTCCCTACTTTGTGTTATTTCCTTCAGCATCGAATTTGCCTCAAAGATACTGCTCGAAAAAAGGAGGAACGATGTCGTCCGCAAAGGTTCGAAAGAAATTTCCATAAACACGTATGCCTCTCTCCTCCCAGTACAGTGACCTCATCATTCCTGTAAGGTCGCGGTGGACAGCTTTGACGAGATTGTGAACCTTGTCGGACCTTTCCAATTGACATGGTAGAAGGATACAGCTGCAACGTCTTTGTAGCAGTCGGCCAGAGTCACATAAGCTGGGTCCAAATCTTGATCCGTCCAAATCTCCTGCCATACAAACATAGCAGTTATTCTAAAGAATCCTAAAGAAGTGAACAATAACAAAGGAAAAGCTCAAGGAAAATACCCGATTCAATCCTGTTGTTGGTTACTGTTAAACAATGTTCGAGTATGGCACCAGAAACACTGCAGCGCTTTGAAGGTTTATAACAGGACTCTGTGGACATATCTGACTGCGTTCTTCCATGTAAAGGTTTGAAGTCAGTATCATACAATTTCTTATCTTGGTGACCAGTCATTGGCAAGCGCACACATGTACGGACTCTTACTTTGCTCTCTTCAGCGTGTGCACGAGCGTCCCTGGTATTCAATTGCTGACGTAAGATAGAACCCCGCATTCCTCCCCTCACTTGCGTAAGTCGGTTCCTTGAAATCAATTTCCAGCACATGATGCTACCTCATGTTCACCCTGCTTCCTCACTGTCCATATTTTAGAGCTTACATCAAAACAGGAAGGACCGTCCATTACAAGAAGGTGAGGTGCCAAACCGTACCTACCTTCACTACATTTTCAATATCTTATTTGCTCCCCAGGCTGCACGTTTCCTCCTGCTCAGTTTTGAAGCTAGATAGTCTATCACATTGATTCTAGACTGAAGTACGTATAGCTTAAAGGCAGCGTCCGGGCAAAATCTTGAATGGAATTTTTTTCGCTTACTTGGGCTTATTCCTCCCGCTGATTCTGAGAATGCAGCTTGAGGGCACGAAAACGTTGAAAACGGACTTTCCCAGAAGCTCTTGATTTGAATTTACTCGCCTGCCGCTAAGGTTAAGACGCAGAGTCTTTGTAGGGCCCTACGTCTTGACTGTGTGCGGTATGCGCACTCTGGCTTATCGAACTAACTCGTCCCGGTCGCCACTTTTGAAGCTGATTTCTCGCTTCAGAAGCAAATTGGCGCATTGCCAGTTGGGCAAGAGCCTTACCAGGACGGGCACCCCTGTACTCTACTTTTCATATCTGCCCGGACGCCGCCGTTAGGCACTCGATGATGTCCTTCATGCATAACAAGCACGCACTCTTCCGTTCCTCTTAATGGAATGCTTTAGCCGCACAGTATCTTTAACGCTTTGTCAACCTTGGCCTTCAGCATTCGTTCCGATTGCACAAGGCATTGATGACTGCACCAGTCTCAACCAAATCGAAGGACTTCCTTGAATCGATGAAGAAGAGCGGCATCCAGTACTCTGTTACTTCGATGACCCGATGTAATCGAACTCGCTGAAGTGACAGGGAGCAAGGGACGTGCTGTCGATAATTCCGGAGTAAATCTTGAAACTCCTTTTCTGTTGACCATGGAAGCATTTGTTCCATCGGGGCGGCGAAATGCGTCATTTTGGTCTTGAAGCACTTCGCGGCATCACATCACTGCACTCTTCTGTCTTCAAAGTCTTCTTTTATCGCCTCTCTGCACCGTGCGCGATCTCGGATGTCATAGTTGTCCATGGTTCTGGTTCAAGTTTTTTTTAGCTTCAGAATTACTAAGACGTATTTGTTCTTCTTGACCCTCAGTTTGCCTAGTACAGTTTGTATCAATCTCAATCAAACCAAAGTTGACATGGCTGGAGTCCGCATTGCATGGGTCTTACGTCATACGATCTACTTGTTTGCTCTTAAATTCTTCTCTTTATGACAGTAGGCATATGCAACGCAAACCTCAACACTGTGAGCGCGTAAGTTTACGCCAGAGGTCCGACCTGATCCCTCTTGGGGCAAACTGTGGAGATGCTGGACAAACCGACAGTGTTCTTCATCGTTGTTGTCGATGACCTTTCGCCAGAAGTGAGATATAATGAAATAGAAGCGCGGAGAACAGGCCCATCATTTCAATTCTATATATCTTTGCCTCTCTTCGGCTCCGTCGCCAAGTTCGCAAAAAAACCCCATCTGCTTTTCCTCCAAAAGCGATATCCAGCTTGGCACGGTGCCAGCTTGACTGCGGACCATAGAAGGTCTACGCACAAATTGTGATCGTTGACTGACTATCACTTGCTGTTGTACTTCGGAGTTTGTTCCAGAAGGTTGTCAGTCTACGAAAACCAGTCACATGACTAAAAAATAAGTGATTCGGCTTCCGCAATACCTCCTCCGGACACTCACCGAACGCACTCTACTTTATAGTCAAAGAGGCTATTGAATGCGATCTTTTTACAGCAAATCGCGGGAGCTAACACGCCACTGCTTCTATCCTCGCAGATCATGATACCAATTTACTGTCCGAGCGTAAAAGGCTTGATTAGTCCAGGGACACGATCGAATCTTGGTCCTGATTATAAGAAGTCTCCACCCTTACAACTCGTACTCATATTATAAAAGCGACGGAGTGAGGTGAGCAAATGCATTGTCAAAAGATGACGCGATAACAGAGCAAGTAAACCATGCGCGTGTCGGTTACTGTGCTGACAGTGACGCCTCTGGCAGAGTTCACGCGATTCGATTGTACCGATTCAATCGCTACAAGACAAGTGTTACGATTTATTGTATGCCGATCTTCTTGTAATTCGGTTGTAATAGCTAGTCCCGATTAGTCGTGTTGGAAAACCATCACAACCGAAATGCAAGAAGATCGGCATGCAATGAACTCCTACTACCTGTCTTGTAGCGAATGATTCGCGAAGATTAAATCGCGTGAACTCTGCCCGAGGCCTAAAGCAGTATCAGCATTGCCGTTGTAATAAAAAAGTCAGGTGACGACGTTCATACGATACAGTCTGGCCGAAAGTTTCCATTGTCCCTGTCCCTCGCTCCAGACATCCATGATCTCCTCGATCGTCGTCGATGGTTGCGTCCACGAGTTCCAGGTACGTAAAGCGTATCCAGCTGATTTCTTAGCTGGTCCATCCGTTCCACAAACACGTCTGCCCATCCTGTTGGTGGTCCTCCTCGAAAACGTTTTGCTTTGCGAGAAATCCACTTTGATGTTCTCAATGTCCATTAGTGTCTGTTCTTCTCGTAGGGCCGGCCCATCGATGCTTCCCTTTCTCAATGTGTTCCGCTTGGCCACGCAGAAGAGACATTCTCTCATATCCGTACTGCAACATTCGACAAAAGATGGACAAGATGTTGTTTGTGCCAGATCATTCTTAGCTCATAGGATCAGTGAAGGAAGCCAAGCCCTTTTTAGGTGAAGAGGACTTGGCTCACCCCCCCCCCTTGCGAGATAAAGAGGGTAAGTGAGCCTTTGAAGCGAAATGCCTTAAAAAGCTACATGCGGTCGAAAGCTGAGGTCATAGAAAATCAAAAGAACTCCTCGACTTTTCTAGGTATTCTGAGCCGAGAAATATGAGGGATATTATCTGGCCAATATAACAGCTGATTTAACGTGCTCACTTTCTGCTCTCTTGTCGCAATGAAGACGAAAGCTACGACAAAGTCGACGGTTTACGTTCATCGACCAAAACTTGCTGTGTAATATAGACAGATAAAAGAGAAAGGGATAAAAGATGTAGCGTCTTTAATACCCTCTGCGGGCATACGCCGAACGCACACTCTTTATAGTCGAAGAGAAGTTGTATGCGTACGAGCCTTTACAAAGAATTGCGGAGGCCAGCCATAACCATGTCTGTGTTTTTATCCTCCCGGAATGACTTAGGTACCAATTTACCGTCTCCGGAGGATAGAGATTTTAGTTGGCTCAGGGGAGGAGGGGGGGGGGCGAACCTACGTTTGATCCGGTCATAGCGGTGCCTCATACCACTAAGCCACACGTCCACTATAGACAGGTTATCGACGGT